TTCAACCTAAAAAATGACAAAATGCTATTAAAATAAAAAATTAATCCGAAAATAAACATTTTAAATTTTTTATGCACTTCGATGTAAAAATTTTATTCAATGCTCTTTCACTTTTTACTCTTATTCACTTTCAAAATAGGGTTATAAGCGATCGAATAAAGCCACGTGAGCTCTGCAAATCGAGGACTCCGAATTTTATAAAAGAAGCACTGTACAAGTTTAGATCGGTATGTACTTAAGTTCGGCACCGTTAGAAGGCGCTGACTTTAGGGGTCGCTCCCGCAAGTGGGAAAGCAGAGATGTTGGCTTATAAGGCTCGTCGAGATTTTAGCTTATAAATTCGCCGAGATCGAATTTGGAATGTATAGTAAGTCGTATTTTCCAAACTATTTAATATAATAATATAACGTGTGAATTTCTGTATCTCGCCCTGTAGCTCGTCCTGCAGCTCGCCCTGTAGTGCTTTAAGTTTATATTTTATTCTTTTTACTTTGTCATACAATGTACGTGTGTACACCTTCAAACGCTAATTTGATAGATTTCTCCATGTCCTCTGGGCTATATTTTTTATCTTTCTTTACTTTTTCTTCACATTTTTTCTCCATTGTGAGGTCGAGTGATTGATTATCTGAAATAAATTAATTTATGAATGAATTGTTCAATCACGTAAGAAAATTGTAAAAATTTATACAACACCATAATATGAGTTACAACTCACCATCTTCCTCTGATTTTCGTCTCTTTATTCCTTTGCCGTTTGGAGAAGCAGAACTGCTGCTGTCAGGCGTTTGTTCCCTTCTAGATGCAGGATTGTTTTCTGATTCAACACTGGCGAGTTGTTGACTCGTCACTAGTGGAACCTGCTTAAGACCAGCAAAAGCTAATTGTTAGGCAACGAGTTGCTGAGCGAGTTCAAATGTATAATTTTGTTAATATTGTATTGCTGCAGTCCACATGTCCATTGACGTCTGAGGCTGTATCAGTGGTTGCACATTCACTGACTGCTCCATCACTTGCTGTTCAACTTCTTCCCCTTAGATTTCCTCGCCATTCGAAGGACTCACATACGAGTAACTTTTTTCAAACTTTGGATACACCATGGGGCACAAAACTTCAAAAACTTTGGAAATAAAAACTAAGATCTCGATATAGCACGACCAAACGTCTGTACCGAAGCCTGAACTGAGACTGAGCGTACTGGAGCATGCATCTGAGCTCAGTATAGAGTAAGGCGGGTGTATATCTAACGTATTTAATAATAATTAAATAGAGTCAATGACATTTCTCTCAGAGCACAAATCTCCCGCAAATGAGAAGCGAGGATTTCAAAAGTCTCCCACGAATCAGAACGCGTTCGATTTGTTTGTTGCAAATGTCAAAGCAATAACGTAGAGAGCAGTTGTTCGCGCAACCTCGCCATGGCGTGGGGCGGCAACATGTTGAATTGTCAAATCCGACCCTGTCGTCGCTTTATCTGTGAGGAAGCTCTGTGATGTGCTCGAAAATGAGTTTTTGAACCAGGCGTTTTTAGGACGATTTGGTTTACACATTTATAAAATAAATCGATACGATGCCGTTGGATGTTATTTGTTGCTTGACACAGTCAAGTTATGCTTGCCAGACACATTGCGCGTAACATTAGCAATGCGTAGTCAAAGCAGACACTTTGCTGCTCTGACAGATAAGGTGAAGAGTGCGAACGGCAATTTTCCCTGACATTCGTCCCTGAGTCACCTATAAACTCGCCAGAGCGGTTAAAGTGGCTCATGACTAAATCGACATGTCGACAGATCGACATCGATAAGAATTTATGCACATATATTGCAAAGGAACTTGATTTATTTTTGTTTAAATATGCCCCTTATCGCCTTCGCTCGGCAGTAACCGATTGCGAGATGTCCCTTGGTGGAAAAGATAAATTTGAGTTCCTTTGTAATTTTAATTTTATTGTAATTATTAAGTGAGTAAATGGGTTCGGAGACACGTTAAAAGAACTATTATTGTTTATGAACGATTTATTTTTATTTCTTAAAGAAATCACCAATCGTAAAGATGTCAACAATATTTGTGTGTGTTCCGCTCTCCAGCTCGCGGCCGCTTATCCCTGTTTTGTCTACTATAGTACAATAGTCGCGAGGAATCGCTTCACTATTGTCTGCTATAGCAGAAGAAAACTTGCAAAAAAATTGGGGGAGGATGATGCGACATGTGGAAATTATTGACATTTATAAAAAATTCCACTAACTTAACAAGTCTGGGATTCTCGTCGTCCCGGCCGATGCGCACTCAGACGCTTGCGCAAGTACCTGCGAGATAAACGCGTCTAGGTGTTCGCTGTCTTATCAGCGGACGTTAAAAAAAAGGCAGTTACCTTGCAATATATTATATGCAAGAGGCGAGATGCTAGGGTGAACCCACGATCGTGCTTTCCTAATATTAGTAAATACGCAGTAATAATGATACGATTTTAAAAAGTTGTATCATAAATGTGGTTTATTTCGAGCTTTTCTGCGCCATTTACTGAAATATTGCGAACGCGAGCGAATCTTGTGAAATCATAAAGTGATAGCGTCGATGATACCACACCCTAATAACATACTGCATACGCATAAATGGTCCAGTGAAAACTTAATAGTATATTTCTCAACGGGTGCACATATGGTTTTTTAGCAAAACGAGGGATTATAGCACGAGCCGAAGGCGAGTCAAAAAATCTTTCGCATTATTTCTGTCAGACGAAATGTTATTTATTAATAAATCTGATTCTAAAACAGTCTGTACAATTATCTGCCAAGAGGTTGAGCATCCATCAGAAGATCGACATATTCTAAGCGTTGGACTCGGATAATACTGCATAAAATTGATCGGACAATATTACTACAAAATATAGACCTGCTTGAGATAGCAATTGGAAAAAAATCAAGTTGTAGGTATTGAAAAAAAATAGGTGCGAAATTTCGACCTATGATGCATAGCAGATGCGGTAAGCGGTGCTGTAATTTTGTAGGACAAGATTTTACCGGCAAATGTAATTTGATTATCTTTAAAGGAAGATAATCTACAAGGTGTAGGTCGTAAAAAAATAGTAATACGTTAATGGGAAAAACGAACATTTTAGAAGATAAAAAAGTTTTCGGTCTCGTTAAGATGATCAAGTATACAAATTTTAGGTGATAAATGAAAATAAAAGTTCACCTACGGTGAACTGTGACAGTTTACGCAACGGCTCTGGACACCTATAAGCTCAGTGTAGCTACGTTAGATAATGAGTCACAACCTTATCAAATCGAGTATTCTTTTCAAGACAATGCAAGCGTTTAATTTATTAAATATGGTCATTTATATGCGTAATTAAGTGCATGTTAATTATTACAACATTTTTTATATATATTTTGTTATAAATTTTTTCGACGACTATGACACTAGTTTCTATAAGTACATGAAATGGCACGTAAAGAAATTGCATTTTTTGACCAAACTTAAGTTGAGTTGAAAAGTTATCGAAAACTGATTAATTATAGGGCTCAAACAATTCGACGTAGCAAATTGAGAATTCTATTTCATTGAAATATTTTTTCTCGTTCGAAAACATGAGTGAAAATTTTATTTAATTCGAGTAACAGTCGACGTGCGACTGTTTACTCATTGTCTCTTGTGTTTGTTTGGATACGGCGAAGCAATCGTTTTGTTACGCGATGTTACCCTAGCACATAAATTTGGACGTAAATATTATCGGAAAATATTTTTCACGAATGAGTTCTTCGTAAATTATTTTTATATTATTTTTTTTTTAAAGAACATATTCAAAAAATTGAATTTAAACAATGGCTTAGTAATTTGAACTCGTAATGGCGACCTTGGCAAAGGCAATACTCGACTAACCGATCTACTGACTCTTTTCGCTGTCAAAAGCGGGCAGAGGCGACTCGTCGAGCAATCTAACGCTCGGCCTGTTAGGGTGCGTGAGATGAAATTCTCGTCGTCGCCGCAGTAATGAAATATCAATAATTCAACGAGAAAAACTCATCAAAATTTTAACGCGCCCTCGTCGTGACTACCAAAAAACAGTGCTGTTTCGAGGAAGTCGAGCTGATCGGCGCTCAAGCTGCGCTGCTCCTTTGAATCGTCGCGATGAAGCTGGGCCGGATGATCCCCGCGACACCTTCTCGTCTGCAGCTCGCCGATCGATAGAAGAAAAAATTATAAACGCGCGTCGAACGTCATATGTATACTTTTGCGTTTTAATGGGCGCGGCAAGCTTCGAAGGAGCAAAAGATAATCGAGGCTGCTCGTCGCGTTGATCAACGTAATCGCCCCAACCGATCGCTCATTAATTCTCGATTTTACTCGGTGATACTCGTTTTGTGAAAATTGTAATTCAAGCTGTAATTCGTTTATCGAATCGTCGAGCGAGTCGTAGAATGGAGTTTTGCCGAGGCCTCGAGATAGGTGTCGCAAAATAGCTTCGTACCCGCACTCGAGGGCAACTATAGCGTCTCGTAAAACAACGAGATCGCAAATAAAAAAGTTCTAATTACATTGTGCTGTGCACCCACGAACGACGTTACTAAATTTGCGTGGCATTGCACACTCACTTGTTCACGTGGCATAATTTTACAAAGAGCTAACGAATGTTTTTGAGATTTCTGCAAAGACGTGCTACTAGCCAAATTTTAATACATCGTAATGAAATTTAATTTCCTCGAATAATCCGATGGATTTTGTGGAGAGATTGTTGAATATTTCAAACAATCGTTCATAAAACACGAGTATCGTTTCGTTCAATGATCTCGTTGAACCTGAGTGCGACAAAAAAAAGAGTCATCGCACGAATTGCGTTCAAAAATCCATGATCCAACACACCTCCGAAGGATCAAAAAAATATTTCAACGTATTTCCATGACCCCGTGATCGTAGTTCGTAGCTCGTAGCTGAAAAGTAGGGGAAATCCCATATAACACTCGTGTATCGCGACATTTCGCACCATTGTTCTTCTTCTGTCGGCTTGGCACCGTAGCTCGTCTTCCGAGCTCTCTCTCTTACGCGCGCGGTCTCGCAAAAATTACGGGTAATTTGCCACTTAGTTTCGTGAAATTAGTCTGAAAGATTAAAAAGTTCACCTCATCGCGTCTGACGCGAGTGATCATTGTCGTTTGTTCCAAAAGTGCGCGTTTGGAAGTGAAAGAAAACCCGTGGAAACCGCGCGCCCGTCGCCGAAAATCAAATTCGAAATAGATCAATTTAAAGAGAGGATTTGGAAAAAAATGCCCAGGGCAAAAAAGCCGAGCGCCTTCGGCAACTTCGTGCAAGAGCAGCTGAAAGAGTCCGGCGGCAGGACGAACATGAGGGATGCGTGCAAAGATCCCGAGTATGCCAACGCCAAGTGGAAGAACATGAGCGCTGACGAGAAGGCCATGTACAAGGCCAAGCTGAAGACGGCCAAGCCGAATCAGAAGAAGATGACTAATTTGGGCGAAGATTTGAAGGACGTGGAGAGGGAGGCGATGCGCAAGAAGCAGTTCGCCGATGACATGAACGTGTACATAAATAACAAGGTCAACGCCGCTAGCCAGGAGCACAGGCTGAAGTACATGACATTTTACATTATTCATTGCAACTATTTCTACAAGAAAATTATTACCGGCGGAGCTGACTTTTTCCCGGCTGAAATTTGCATTATCGAATGCAACTTAGAGCAGGGCATAAAGAACACTTATGTGCAACATGTCCGCCCTGATATCGATCAAGGATACAGTGCAGAAGCTCAAGAACACAGCACCAAGACTCACCAAATCCCCGTGGATGCCCAATTTCAATACAAGAGCTTCGAAGAAATGTACGAAGAGATTCGCATGTTCATTATGCCTGGTATGGAAGGCGACAAATTACCTCCGCTGTTTACTCGTTACCGACGCGGTGAAAGTCTAGCATGCGAATCAGTAATTTCCATTATGGATCAGTTGGCCAAAGCCGCAGGTAAACCTACCGATCTCATTCGTATCTACTCCCTGGAAGATCTTATTGCAAGTATGTGTAATGCGAGTCTTGAGACAGCAGGGAGTCCTTTTGAACCAGCTCTTGCTACGAAAAAATTAAATAAAGATGCGTATCAATGGAAAACTGGAATTCAATGTAGTTATCATACTACTACTTTCAAGTGTGGAATGGCGTATTGCAGTCAATCGTTTGTTACCAGATGGTTCTATGCTATTTGTGATTTATGTTGTAAAGAACTGAAAGTTAAGAAGAGAAAGGGTGTTCATTCTCCACCGGAATCAGAAGTGTTTTTTCGTGAATCTTCTTTGAAGGCTTCGAGCATTTATGATAGCAAAGGAGCAACACGATCAAAGTCAAATACAAGTTCGAAGAATGAAAAAAGTCAAGATGCTGATTTCGTCGTAGTCATGCATAGTAGGAACCATAAAAATTCATCAACTGAACGATCCGTCAAAAGCCCTCAACAAATCTTCAGTGCTTTTACTACCAGTAGTCAATCCCTCCAAAACAATGATGCAAATTTCCCATCACTAGGAAATGTACCTTGGAGAAGAAATGAAATTTCGTCTGCGGGTAATGCGTTGGAGAATTTAACCATCAATGATAGTAAAGGAGCAACTCGATCAAAGTCAAATACAAGCTCGAAAAAAGGAAACAGCCAAGATGCTGATGTCATCATAGTCACGCATAGTAGTAATCATAGAAATTTGTCAACTGAACGATCCGTCAAAAGCCCTCAACAAATCTTCAATCCTTTTACTACCAGTAGTCAATCCTTCCAAAACAATGAAGAAAGTTTTCCACAACTTGCAAAACCAACCCAACATAATTCTTCTATTCGAAAAAATAACGTTAAAAAGCAGAAAAGACGACTAAGAAAATAAAGGAAAACACTGGTAAAGCTAATTATTATAAAAGTATTCGTACAAAATATTTGTAAAAATATTTATAATTTGTAAATTCACAGTTGTATATTTGTAATTGAAATTTTATATATTGTGACTAGTAATTCTCGTTTTTACTAGATTTAACTTTTTAACAATCGACTCGAGTAATAAATCAAAAATAAATTTGATTGAATAATGTCATAATTGTGCTTCAAGTTTTTTGTTTCATTGAAAGTCATCACACAATTAATACTTGTTATGTACATTGCATACGTATAAAAAATTTTTCAGACAATCATAACGTTACTCGGAAAAAAATGGAATATATTACTATAACATACGCATAAATCAAAGAAATCTCAGGAATCGGCAAATGTTTGTGAACGCACTTCGCTTGCATTGGTCTGTTGCACACGCGAAGCGGCCAAGCTGTAGGTCATTTTTCTATCTCTCTCTATTTCTTCTGATTCAATTCAGTGACGTTCCTTCTAATTTTATAGCTTCTTCATAGTATATAGCTTCCGTCGATGAAAATGACAAGATGTTTAATAGCTCGCAGCGTGTTCACTGGCAGAATTAGACCGTAATTATAATAAAGGGTTCTATGAATTTTTCTCATACGCCGTTATTATTTTATGAAAGATTTTATTGATAAAGTTGAATAATGTGGAATGCATAAATTGGGGCCATTAGAATTTTTGGTACTAATCTAAAACGACGAAACGTGTAATCAAATTCGTAAAATTTGAATCTATTCAAAGCAAAATTTTCATCGCAAACAAATGTTTGCACTGTCCTAGCATGAATGCTAAAGGGATTTCTCTATTTTCACTCTCTCAACCATTATCCGGTACTTGCGGTATGTTTGAGCGTCTATACCTGTACATAAAATATTTTATTTCAATTTATGCTCTTGTATTCTAATAATTGATTTGCAGTTTTAAAATGAGGTCGGCTATGCTTCAAAAAAATTTCAACTTTGAAACGTTGATTTAGAGGTGAATTTGTCTGGTAATTTTTTCCCTCCAGATAATCGCGAGCCCCATTTCGAGCTCGCCTTGGCTATTCGACTTTTTGCATAATTTCTTATTCGAAACAATGAAAATACGCACTTGCCTACATGTGCCCTCCACGACAACGCGGATATAATTAACCAATACGTCTTACATGGTTTGTCGTGGTGCAAAGCTAATTCAACACGCCTTTCATGATATGAGCTAGTAAAAGTTACATCTAAATAGTCATAATTTATTCTTAAATATTTACAAAGGAATACTACAAACATAGATACCTGTCGATTATTCATTACTCAGTTCACAAGATTTAGGTGATAAATAGCTGACCGAGATGATCGAGAATCAATATGTATACTCTTTCGAACCCGTAGTTTTACACCATGCATTAATATACCGATCGGCGTTCGAGCATATATTGTCGCTGATACAAAATCACGGTAGCATGAATTGAGAGCTACCGATCTGCTAATCATTAAATTCAAGTCGGGTCTTCATTATATTTCGTCGACTACAGTGCGGAAGTTTGGAGCGAACTCGAGAAAATAATGAAACGTACATTCAAGAGCACGAAGGACAATATAAATTTATAGATACGTGGAAGCCAACAAAGCCGTCTGAGTAGATGTCTGTCGGACATTAACATTTGCACAAGGCGACGATGAGCGAAAATTACGTATGAGATTCATGCTTAGTTCTTGTATTACATCGTGTCCTTAAATTTTCATATCGATCGTATTAATTTAGCCCTCTTACAGTCTCAGAAACTATTGATTTTAATTGAAAAATCCATTTTTTCATACCCGAGATAAGTTCACAGATCAGTCCTTTCCGCGAAGCTCAAAAATTCATGAAAATTCAATCATTATTAATACCAGCCTCCACCATTAGGTGGCGAGTACTTACATCTGCAAATCTGCAAATGGCAAAGTGAAAATACGTGTACAAGTCACAACAATATTTCGTTTGAAACTTGTAACGTGGTTTTCCGTTTTGACTATTGAATCGTCAAATAGTGTCCAAATATCATTATTTCTGCGCACATACGACATGTAGTGTCCATTATCAGTTCTCAATGACTTATGAGAAATTATGCCAAATAAAAAATTATTTCAAATTCTTCTTTGTCACTATTCCTATAAAAAATATTGGTGAATTCATAATTTATCGTAAACTTTGAAAACTCATGTTTATAGAAATTTTGACTAATTGTGTAAGGTCAATGTGGGTATTTTCGCTCAGCTAAGCCCCTATTTTCGCTCAACTTTGAATTCAATCTTTACATGAAATCAAAACTTAATACCAGTATTTAAATAATAACTTTGTGTTAAACATGCTCAGCTCAATACGATCAATTAAAAAAAAAATTTTGTGTTAAATTAGATCTTTAATATTAAATTATTGAGCGAATATAGAGACACGAGCGAAAATACCCACATTGATCTTATAACCATCAATTTCTATAAATGTATCGTGTTGAAGTAAAGTGTTTTTCATTCACGTCTGTCTTTGTTCACAAAACGAACCGCTTTTTAAATATATACCCTACACAGCTGCTCACTGTGGATTCTATGTTAATAATGATAAAGTTTTCACTTCTTCATATTGAATAGCGGCCTAAAAAAACATTATAATTATCTTTTAGCGATATAAAAATATATTCATAAGATTCATTCAAATATAAAATATATCCTTGGGAATATACATGCCGATTCAAGATATCGTTTCAAGTCATCGTGCATCGTCAACAAAAAAAAAGAAAATACCAACTATCAAAATGTATCAAAATGAAGTAAATAAATGCGATAAATCTTCAAAATTTTATTGAGAGAATCTCTAAACACTATCTATAAATATCGTATAGCAATCTTAAAATAAAGCCTAAAAAAGATCCACATAATTGAAGGTAAAATGTCTACGCATTGCTCGAACTATAAGATGCGTCAATTATGTATATAGACTTGAAAGAAATACGAATTTCCGATCCATTTGGGGTTTCCCAGAAGAATGTATGGCATATATACTGTATGTAATTCGAGTGTCCAAATTCCAATGGAGCATCAAACAATTATCCTTATGATCATTCCCGAACTCTCAAAATTGTCTCATTTTATATACATATATTACGAACCGTAAAACGAAGCCATTTTCACACAACTATTTCCACAGCTACAGATTTTTCTGTTTTATTAGCTCAATATATTTTTTAAATAAAAGCAAGGAAAAGCTAAAATCATCGATTATTATAAAAATATTACAAAGTAAGTATATTACAAAAGTAGCTGTCCCGCATTCGAGCGGGGAGTTGATAAAGACGGCAAACCATCGTTGCATCGACGGGCATTGCATCGAAGAGTCTGATGCGTAATTTTCACGTAGCCTGCTTGCATATAAAAAAATGAGCCAATTACAAGTATGAGATTTCCACCTTGTCGCCAGTTCTTATCACCGATAATTATATTAGAGCCAGCAATCTCTCTCTCTCTCTCTCTCGCTCTCATGCTCTTCTTGAAGTCCTTCGATATTGTGTACGTATACTTTTGTTTGACTATCTTTTTACGGTACGCGCTTATAGTAATTTGTAAAAATAGCAATTCTATCGTCAGACTGAGCTATATGTATGCGTTGCAAACAAGCCCGAAGAGAGATCGAGAGGAGACGCAGAGAGAGAGAGAGAGAGAGAGAGAGAGAGACCTTGAACGAGTCCAAGCACGAAAATTTTATTCAACCCTTGCTTGCCCAGATTTCATTCACGACTATACAGTAAGCAGAAGCTTCGGTATGGAAGTAAGCTGCAAAAGAGAGAAAGCAAAAGATAGCAAAAGCAGCGACGGTGCATCTTTTTTTTCGCAAATATTCCACTTCTCTTACTCTTTCTATCGGCCTTCGCTGCAGGAAGCGTTTGTTTTAATGCGCGCTTTACACATAACGCGAAGTAAAAACCGCTGCCAATTCATTGGCAAAGTGCTTCCTCATAAAAAATTATATTAATGAAAGGGTTTGGTTATTGAAGGGAAAATTCGTATTTCATTTTTGAATTTCAAATTCCGTTTTCTTTAATGCATACGAAAATCCTAAAAAACTTAAAGATTTCTAGAATTTCGTGTAAGATTACCTACAATTTTATCTTAGCCAAAAAGCCGAGAAAACAAACACACACACATACATACATACGGACATTTGTTGAGAATTCAATCAAGTTTACAAATATGTAAACCAAATTGTCCTACGAGGTCTGGTTCAAAATCTCGTTTTCGAGCCTATCACAGAGCTTCCTCTATGAGGAAGCAAAAGGGATACACCGCAGATACACGTAATATGGTTTCTTTACTGTATACGAGCCCCCGCGTTTATAAGTTCATGCTATGCGCGCGTGTGCCGAGTGCAGAATTGGCGTCTATAATTTGGTCTGGATGACCGATACATTTTTGCGTACGAGCTCCTGGTGACTACAAGTAACTTATCGTTATGAGTGCACCAAGTGCGTCGGCTCTTTAAATATCAGCCAGATTTTTTTTAATATCAGCTTTAATTCGTTTATTTTTTTCCTTTTTCGTGCGAATTGAGACCAACAAATTGAACGAGTTAATTTTGTAAGCGTGGATGAAAAATAATTTAATCCCTTGAGAGATTCAAAACGCAGTCTATTCTTATGACAGGAAATGATCTTTTAGAATAATTAATTAATGCTCACACATGCATGCGTTCGATCATGCGTTGTAATTGATGTTCACTCCAAGGCGACGGACACGCTGCATTTACAATTTAAAATTAGGCAGCACTCGTGTACGCGCGTTCAAGCTAACATCGACGCTTAGCATTTATAGAGCACCTGTTCCCTCTTTCGAGGCCCTCTTTCATGAGTACGTAAGAGGCGCAACGCATTGAACCTGCCGAGTTTCTCTTTTTCTCGCTCGCATCCTTGTTATACACAGGTCGGTGCAACATACTACACTGAAAAAAATTTTATACTCAAATCCAGCGAAAGTGGCTAACTGGATCAGCAAAAGATATTTGTCGCGGCAGCTAAATGATTTTGCTGGGACAGCAAAAGGTTTTGTCGTGGCAGCAAAATATCTTTTGCTGATCCAGCTGTCCACTTTCGCTGAATAGACTTAGGCACAAGGACGCTTGTAACCAATCGACTTGCTTTGGAAGTCCAATGCATGGCACAGAATGTGTAAGTAGCGGAGAGCAACGAA